TTTCATTTTTTTTTTGGCAAAAAATTTAGCAATTCGATGGCAACCAAAATTAAAAAACCAACAAAAAAAATTAAAAACAAAACCCGACTTATTTAGTAAGTTTTCAAAACAAATAACCAAAATTAAAACTGTGTTTAGTTCAAAAAATCGTTTCTCTTTATTGACACCTATATTTAGACTAGAGTAAAAATCAAAAATTTCTTTTAGAATGAGTTTTTAATGTCAATTTCTATGCTCATTCATTACTTTGTAAGTATTTTTTTATGTTAAAATGATTAATTATATAATAAAAAACAACTTTTTTCTTTCTGCCCCTCATCCACTTTATAAATATTATCAAGATCTGAAAACAAACATGTAATTTTTGTACCTGCTTCTTTTTTCTTTTTTTTTTGCAGAACGTTTCCAAAAGCTTGGAAACTTCTTGTGAATACATGTCATTGGTATTTTTAAAAAAAAGAGTTTATTAAAAATACTGTTAAAATTTTGGCAATTAAAGAAAAAATAAAAAACAGAAGTGTTACTAAACGGGAAATAATGAGCTATTTATGTTTTTCCATTTTAGCCAAGATAAATATTGCTTGGTTGAAATTGCAAGTCAAGGTCCTTGTTGTCCATAATATTTATGCAAATGCTTTTAGGCTATTACAACGAAACTTCAAATAATGAGTAGGGCTAAAGAAAATAAGGACCATTTGCAATTGTCTTTTTTAATGCTGACATTAGGTATATCTCATTCTTAAAAAGTGAACACAATTTCACAAATATATATATATATATATATATATGCATTGAGAAAGAAGAGAACTGAAAAAAAATTTTTGATAACTTTGATATGAAATTAAAGGTAGCCAAACTTAAAGATATAGTAATTTGTACAAAATGTAAGAATTGGTTAAACTGATTGTACTTATATTATATATTAATAGGTGAATTAGGATGAGTATAAAAAAATGTATTGAACCTAATGTGAATCAATCATTTTTCAATTGAATTAACTAGATGCTTTAGGCGTCAAATATTTTTTATAGAATAATCCAAAATTTTAAGTGTTCTTTTAGCTTCAAAAATCATTTTTTTAATGAGAAATAAAATTCCATTGATATATGAAAACCATAAGAATTCCAAAACCAATTCGAATGAGACAATATGCTACAAATTTTACACTCATAAAATGCATGAAAATGCAAAATCAAATAATCTAATGCCTACATGAATATTGTAGTTAGATCCAATTTTAAGATTTAGTAATTCACATTTTAGTGTAATCCATCCAAATAGAAGATATATTAGTTGGATAAAAGAATTTAGCTAGGGATTCCATCCCTAATCGTGCCCTCAACAATCAAAACAAATGTGATAACTGATCTAAAGTCCAACCAATATTGCGTTCAAGTTGCCATCCTTCTCCAACAAAAATGAATTTTGATAAAAGCTATCAAAAAAGTCAAGGTAGAAACCCTTAGAAACCTTCACAAGAGAGGGAGAAACTCCCATAAAAGAGGTGAAAACTCTCACCTTTAATCTACCCTAACCATTGAGGAGAAAGAGACAACAATACATAAGGAGTTAGCTTCAAAACTCTTAATTAATAACTCAAGAGTTGCTTTGGTGAGTGGAAGGAGGTTTAGATCCCGCAGTTGGAGAAGGTTGATTTTCTCATCATCTGACTTGTAGCAAATAGGAGCTATTGCTTGTTAGTAATATAGTAGCCCATAGAGCTTGCATAAAGACTTTCATATAGCTAGTAATGTTTAATTGGTGGTCTTTTATACTTGGTAACCATATTATTGGCCCTGTAGGGCTTAATCTATAATCACTAGTATTAAGTAGTTTCTTGTTATTTGTCATGAATGATTCGTTTATGAGTGTTTAGCACCTTGGTATTAGATGGATGTTATAGGTTTAATTCTTGTTGCCCGGTTGGCTACTATTTAGGGATTATAATTCATTGTAATATCTATTTCTTTATATATTAGTAAAATCACATTATTTAATTATTATAAAAAGCATTTGGAAATGGTAATTACTTATCACTCGTTTGAATTTGGCAGTTCATAACCACGAAAAAAAAAAAGAAAAAAAAGAAGAAGAATACATGTTTAGGGTCCATCTTTATGTCCATACAAATAATTGCTAGGGTTACTAAAAAATATGATAGGTGTGTTTGGTTTGACCATTAAGAGCAACTGAAAGTTATAACTGTTAATTAATAATTGATAAAATAATTAATATTTATTATTTAACT